GGCATCGGACCCCGGGCCCATGGGGCTGCCTTGCCAGTCACGAGCCGCGTTTCCTTCTGTCCTGGGGCTACTCGCCAGCTACGTACGGGCTGGGACTGGGCAGGCACCTCCCGACCCCTTTCCCCTGGCAGGGCCAGTGTAGTGTCTTGGTGCTGCCCAGCCTGTGGCCCAGCAAGGGGTCCGGGAGCACAGCCCATGGTCTCCGAGAGGCAGGGAGCTGCTCAGCAGCACTGGGGCTGGGCCGTAAGTGCCGTGTAACACAGGGATCCCTGACCCTCCAGTAATGGGGTGAGGATGGTGAGGCGGGGACACACTGCAGCCCTGCCATTGGTCTTAGGGGTTTCCCGGGACACTTGCTGCCCTTTGGCCTGGCTGTGGCCATGTCACCTTTCCCACCCCACTGGGCCTCCCTCCCTCCCCTGGGCTGCCCTAGAGTGACAGACACACAGACACGCTGGTGCTGGGCACCCTGCCTCTGCGCTGCAGCTGGGAGAACCCCCCTCCTCGGATTCAGGGGGTCACCCCGGGCCTGTTTGGGACCTGCCTGCAGCGGGCGCCGATTCCCGCAGTCTGCTGCCGAGCTAGGGACAGGCCAAGAATCCGTCTCAAACATTTGGAGAGTCAAAGAGTAAATCTGTCTGGGAGCCCGGGGCAGCTTTCTCGCCTTGATTAGGAGCTCACAATGATTTACCATCGGTTTGCTGTCAGCCACCCCCGCGGTGCTGCTCGTGGAAAACACCTCACAGCAGAATCGTGGGCCATTTGGATTGGACGGCTGGGGCTTGAACAAAACCCAAAACCAAACCAAAAGAAAGCGTCTCGGGCTGAGACAAACCGTTTCCAAGCAAGGTACAGGCAGGCTTGGAAGAGTTCCTTTGAAAATGCCAAACAAAATGTGTAGGCGTCTCTGGCTTTTGATTCTGTTTTGGTGTGAGAGGTGACACGGGTAACGAACGCGACTCGACCCGCGTCACAAACGCTTTCTGCCCTCCCAAAACGGCATTTTTTAAAAGCAAATAAACTGCTCAGCTTTGAAACTGCACCCGACTCAAGTCCCGAGCCGGGAGGCCGGGGGGAGCTAAGGAGAACACTCGGCTCTCCCACGGCACCCCCAGTGCTTAGCGACCCATGAAGCCAGGGGCCGGATTCTGAGTTGGCCTAAATGAGCAGAGCTCAAGTGAAAGCAAAGTGGAGCGAAGGCAAATGGCAGAGTCTGTCTCTTGCTCCGTGCCCTGCTGAGTGAGAACCAGACCCAGCCAATTGACCTGAGGAGCGAGCCCACCATCTGTCGCGCAGCAGGGAGCATGTGTGCGCCGTGACGCTGCTGACGGAAGCCTTGCCCTCCCCAGAATCCGTTATCTGGGGGCTTCCAGGGCTAGCTGAGCTTTCGGCTTATTCCGTCAACCTCTGATTTCCCTAGACACCCCCGAGCAGTCCAGGAAGGTGAAGTGGTGCACCGTGAGTAAGCACGAGAAGGAGAAGTGTGACGAATGGAGCGCCGTGAGCGGCGGGAGCGTGGACTGCGCCGTGGAAAGCACCACGGAAGATTGCATTGCCAAGATAATGGTACGGGCTTTTCCTGTGCCCACTGCTCGCTGTGGGCCCCTGTCGGCTCGGGGAGCCGTTTCCTCGCCCTGTCTCTGGGCAGCGCTAGTCGGGAACGTGCCAGTGAAACCATTTTTCACTGGAACGGGCCAGTTCGCTGGAATGGAGACTTGGTGCAGAAAAGGGCCAGTTCTGACAAGTTTCTTAACTTGACACTTTTTTTTGACGTTTACAAAGTGACTGACGGTTTCATCTGGACAGGTTCTGAATTCTCGTCGTCTGAGTCCAAGCCGAGCTGCCTGTAGCACGGCCCTCGCTTCCACGACAGCACCTTGGCCAGGGCCTCGGCTCCGGCCGGGCAGGCTGAATGAAAGCGGCTTCGCTTCCTCGCTGACGAGTTGTTTTCCTTGCAGAAAGGCGAAGCGGATGCCATGTCCCTGGACGGAGGCCAAGTCTACACGGCCGGCGTGTGCGGCTTAGTGCCAGTCATGGAAGAGTACTACGGGGGTGAGTGGGCGCAATTGAACTGTGATCCGCCAGAGGCCCCGATTCTGGTCACAAGTAGCTTGAGCCGGGGCGGGGGGAGGGGCTTTAATCTCTGGATGTCGCAGGCTGATTTGGGCAGGAGCGGTTCTGGGTGTAATCCAGAGTGGCCCCTACTGGCTGGAGCAGGGTGGGGGAGTCACACTGCTCCCCTCTCCCCCCAGGGGCTGTGCGGAGGGCTGCCTCCACTCAATGCCAGGGTGGTCCCAGGTGGCTCTCTGGCTCAGCAGTGCAGATGTGGGGGCTGTCTGGGACCCCCGTAAAGGCCAATGGCACCTGGCGACCCTCGGGCTTTGTCTACACTTCAGTGTCGAGCACAGCTGCTTTAATCGAAACGCACGGCCACAGCTGGGAGCACAGGCGCCACGTGGGGGCGCATGCAGGGCGTGTGCACCGCCCCGACACCCGCTCCCAAAGTGGCCGGCAGGAGGGCTGGTGCCTGCGGGAGGAGTCCGCACTGCGCCCCTCCTCTGCTCGCCGGCAGCGGCGGTGGGGAAGCACAGGCTGGGGGGCTGCTCTGGGGAGTGCTGGGAAGAGGCAGGTGGGACAGAACAAGGTGGAGGGGAGAGGCGGGGGCTGGGGTCTCCCCTCCTTCACCTGCCAGGTGTCGCCGAGCTCGGTGGAAACCGCGTCTCCCAGGGGAGTAGCTCCCAGCGCTCCTGCCTGGTTCACACTACGGTCCCGTCCTGCATGCGATGTGGGGGTGGCTGTTCACATGCCTGAGCCGAGCCAACACTGCAGACTAACCTTTGTCACCACCACGAAGCCACGGGCTCCTAGCCGCTAGCGCCAGTCTGGCTACAGAGCAGCTGCCCCAGAAGGGGATCCTTCATTCTGCCAATACGACAGATATTGGACCAGCTGCTCTCTCCCCTCCGTATTCAGGCTTCTCCAGAAAGTAACTTGCCCCCTTGCCTCAGTCTTTCCAGAGCGAGCGCCATACACCACGCTGGGGATACCTGCTTGTAGCATTACCTGCCACTGAATCTCCCCCTTTCCCATTGCAGATGACATGACACGATGCCAGAAAGAAAGCGAACCCACAGGTAATTACCAGGCACAGAGGAGCAGAAGCTAAAATCCTGACCTAGGGTAAACTCAACCAGTGACTCGGTCAAGAACCAGCAAGCTCAGGGTTAGGAATGAGCGGGCGATGTTCACCGCAAAGGGGGCGGCTGGGGCCAGTGTATTTAGGAATGGTTTGGTGCACAGATCCAGTGGCAAAGGGAGACGTTATCTCGACTGAGGCGCACAAGGAGGGAACGACACAAACGATCAACCCACCCTAGTTAATCTGACCCCAGGACTGCACATCAAAGACAACAGAAAAGCAAGGCCAAGAGCGTACGTCCTGGGGGGAGCAAGTGAAACTACCCAAAGAATAGTGATAGAAATGTAGCCGTGTTAGTCTGGGGTAGCTGAAGCAAAATGCAGGACAATGTAGCACTTTAAAGACTAACAAGATGGTTTATTAGATGATGAGCTTTCGTGGGCAAGACCCACTTCCTCAGATCAAATAGTGGAAGAAAATAGTCACAACCATATATACCAAAAGATACAATTAAAAAAATGAACACATATGAAAAGGACAAATCACATTTCAGAACAGGAGGGGGATGGGCGTGGGGGGGAGGAAGGAAGGTAAGTGTCTGTGAATTGATGATATTAGAGGTGGGGAGAGTGGGATGTCTGTGAGCTAATGGTATTAGAGGTGATAATTGGGGAAGCTATCTTGGTAATGGGTAAGATAGTTTGAGTGTTTGTTCATTCCTTCCCGGAGAGTGTCGAATTTTTCATGTTAAAACTTCCACTATTTTTCTTCCACTATTTGATCTGAGGAAGTGGGTCTGGCCCACGAAAGCTCATCATCTAATAAACCATCTTGTTAGTCTTTAAAGTGCTACATAGTCCTGCATTTTGCTTTACCCAAGGAATGGGGGCAGGAGGAGACTGACCCCGGGGTGTAACATTGCCCACCTGGCCAGGTGGATTGTGCTGAACTTTTGGTGTCTTCCTCCCGCTGCGTTGGCTGGGCCAGAGGGGCTGCGAGCCGGCACCTGGTAGTTCTCTGGTTTGAGTGGCGAAGGTTCAAACTTTGAATGCTGAAGGTCTTCGGTTTAAACTGGGCTGCTGGCCGGAGGAGGTGGAATCGTTAGAGGAGCCTCGTCTGCCGAGGGAACCCAAGTTCTCTAGAGGGCTGGACTTCCTGGGCCTCGCAGAAACCCCTCGAGGGGGCTGGGCACCCCCAGGAATTGCTAACGGCAGCCAGTGGTTGCACCAGTAGCACTGCCGGCTGCTGCCTGTCCGTGAGCTGCGTGGCATGTGCCTGCCGGGCCAGACCAGCCCCTAGAGACAAATGGCGCCACTAGCCCCCTGGCGTATGGGCCAGCCCCAAGGCCCGCGGAACTGGAGAGGAGTCTCCCTGCGGGGCCCGGCGGGGCAGCAGCAGCCCTCGTGCGGTGCCGGTTGTGGGGTATGCAGGGCCGTGAAGCCTGGCCAGGCCTCGCAGCAGCACGGACCCTACATGGTGGCGGTTTCTGAGGAAAACCATCTTCCCTCTGTTGTTTCATGGCGCATGGGCCGCTCGCACTGAACGGAGGGGAGAGGAACAGCCCCCCCCCCAGGCTTTGCACCTGGAAAGAGGCGAGCCCGCGCTCAGACTCGTGCCTGGGGTTCCTCAGCACCGACACGTCCGGGCCAGTTCCTGCGCCCTTCCCCCCAGGGGAGCACGTGGCCTGAGAGGGACCAGAAGCTGAAGGCTGTGGTGGGGAGCTGGGGGCTTAGCCCATGGAGAGTGGGGGCATCAGTGTCTGTCTGAGCTGGGACTCTGCCCTTAGCACAGGGGTGCAGGTGTGGCCCTGTGACTGCCCCACACCACATCGCGCTGCCCCGAGCGGCAGAGACCGTCTATATGGGGCGCCGACAGTTCACCAGGGTGGTCCCCGGGGACAGGAGGCCTGGGATGCAGCACTAGAAAACGGGTCAACAGGAACAGTTCCCCAAACAGAGACAGGCTGATCTCATAGCTGAGGGCACAACTGGATGCTGTATCCCTGGCCGCGATGCAGAATTCCTGGGTGGCCGTGGGCAAATCATTTAGTGACCCCAGACCTCAGGTTAAACAGTGGGAAGAATAATACGGGAGAGGTGTTGTGGGCCAAATGCGTCACACCTGCAAACCTTCCTGTGTCCTGGCGTGACAGGTGGAATAGGAGAGCGCAGGATTCTTGCGAGTCCCTGAGTTTGTAGAGCAGGGGAGGGGCGAAAAGAATTCTAGCACTTTCGGTGTCAGTCCCGGTTCAGGGTCATCTCTCCGCCTGCAATTCCTTTTCCTTCTTCTCTGTGACAGAAACGTATTACGCCGTGGCTGTGGTGAAGAAATCCGACGCCACCCTCACCTGGGACAACCTGAAGGGGAAGAAGTCCTGTCATACGGGTGTAGGGAGGACGGCCGGCTGGAACGTCCCCATGGGTTTGATTAACAAAAAAACCCCGAACTGTACATTTGGTGAGTCCGCTTGCGTCCCCACTTCTCGCAGCGCGCCTGGCGCACGCACAACAGCTCTTCCTGCAGCTCTCTTCCAGCCTGCGAGTGTCTGGTGACTCGCGGGGGCGGGCTGGGCCCTAGCCAGAGGGAAATGCTGCTTTGCTCAAGGTTTCTAGGAGATGGACTTGAGTATTTCTTACCCTGGTAGAGCAGCAGCCGGATGTGGCTAAGAGACTCGCGATGTGAAACGAGCAATGGTGGCTTGTCCCAATGACGAGCCCAGCTAGTGTTCAAACCACAGGATGAAATCGACAAGGGCTTGGGCAGAAATTGCCTTGTGAGCTGGCCACAGCTGCCTGCTGCAGGGTTTCTTGTGCTGTCCTCCAGAGCGTTGGTCCCAGCTATGGCTGGAGAGAGCAACACAAATACTTTGTCATTTGCCTGAGATTTCTTGCTGTCTGCTTCACTGTCTGTAACCTCCCTTTGAATCCGTGCAGCACAGAATCCGACGGTATTTTAAAAAGACCCAGCCTTCAATCTAAGGAAATATTGCCTGGGTCTTTTCTTTCCAACCCATTGAAATTACTCCATGGCCTGATGCTGAGTCCCGTGGAGTGTCTCGCTAAGGGGTAGAGGAAAGCGAGCGCCAGAGAGGAAATACACAACCGCTGCTCTCTGTTCCTCCGGGCAGATCACTACTTCCTGGAAAGCTGCGCTCCCGGCTCTGCACCGGAATCACCGCTCTGCAAGCTGTGTGTGGGGGACCGTAAGAATTTTCCAGTAAATTACGTGTGTGCGGCCAACAGCAACGAGCAATACTATGGATACACTGGAGCCTTCCGGTAGGTGACTCCAATACAGCGCACCTGAGAATCCCTGCCTTCTCCTCACTCCGCTTTCCTCCTCCCTCTCGGCCCCGTGGGGCAGACGCCATCTTTCTGCTCCCAGCTGCCTGCAAACCCCATCAGCCCCGCTCCTGGTGCGTCCTCGTTTTGGTGTCCGCACCCCCTCTGAGGCTAGCGCTATGGAAGCGTACGGCCAGGGTCCTCACCCTGGAAACGCCCCCCTGGGGTCGGGGGGTGGCGAATGGAGTCGTGCGACCACAAAGCAAACGAATGAAGAGCAACGACAGCACGCACGTTCCTTACGCCCCGGACACAGCTCCTCTGGTCCTGAGAGGGGCGGTGGGGGAACGCAGGCGGGGCTCCGCTGGGGACAAGGCTACCGCGTCCAAACACCAGTAACTCCCGCTTGTCTCCCTCTCTCGGTGTCTGACAGGTGCCTGGTTGAGAAGGGGGACGTGGCCTTTGTCAAGCACACGACTGTCAGTGAGAACACCGATGGTACGCAGCTATCGCACCTGCGTCAGACTCCATCAGGGACCTGTGGCACAGCCAGGCTGGCTGGAAAGGTCTAGGCGCTAGAATGGTGGGAGGGGGGAATAATTTTTGCAGGGAGAGAGGCACCGAATGAATTTTTCTATGAGGTCACAGGCCGGCTCCGCCCCCCAGACTAGGGCCCCCCCCCAGAGTTGTCTGGGGCCAGAGGCTTTGAATTAAACACACAGTAAAGGGTTCACAGCTACTGCGTTGCTGCAGCTTTTAAAAGGCTCTCGGCTCCGGCCCCTACCAAGGTCACGCCGCAAGTGTGAGCTGTTTAAGTAGGATCCTGCTCCCTGAGCCAGTGCCTGGGAATTCGGTGGTACGGGCAGCAGGCCAGACATAGAAAACGGCCGCATGCAGTCCGCGGGCTGGGGCGAAGTGTGGGGTGGGCTGGATCCCGCCCTGGGTCGCACCTTGCCCAGCCCTGGCCTAGAGCTCTCCATGAGCTCAAACTAGAACAGGCTGTGGGTGGGGGAGACCCCGCCGCTGAGGGTCTCGCAGCACTGCTCCCCTCCTCCTCCTCGCCCCTGTGCTCTATGGCCCCAAGCCAAAGCCAGCTAAGTCCGTGGGAATCTTCCGTCGCCTTCGCTGGGCTTCGGATCGGGTGCCAGGAGGGCAAAGCCTCGGGCTCTGTGCAGGGACACAGCCGTGCAGATGTGGGTGGCACAAACACTAGGGCTGGCTTCCCGCCGCGGGGGCCGGTCACTCCAGTCTAAGGCCCGAGTCCTGGCGTCGGGGAGGGGACGAAGCCCGCTCTCGCTGAGGCCAGTCTTAGCCCTTCCTGGCTCGGACTTCACAACCCCCGCCAGGCTCGCTCCCCGAGGCAGGCTGGTCCCAGGGCTGTCTCCCTCCTTTTCTGGCCACAGGATCAACCCCACCTTCCCCTCAACAGCCTCATACAGGGTTGTGGCTCCTGCCAGAGTCTGCAGGCCTGAGAATCCAATACTCTTTTCCCCAACCCTTGGCGAGGCGCTCCAAGCCAGCCTAGGGGATTTAGACACTTCCTCTAGCTGAATGCATGTGACTAGGAGATGTGTGAACAAACCCTCCAGATTGCCCGGACAGTCTCCCGTATGCCGGCCTCCTGCTGCGCTCTGCTCCCTACATCTCCTAGACACGTGCATGTCTCAAACACAAGCGCATGCGGCCATTCCCACCGAGCCCACACTCGGAGCAAAGCCTGCAGCTGGCAAACCGCTCCCCCTCCTCCTGCCAGGACACAATACCGCCGACTGGGCGCAAAAGCTGAGAAGCGAGCAGTTCGAGTTACTGTGCCCGGATGGGCGGCGCGCTCCCCCTGCTGATTACAAGACTTGCTACCTGGCTCAAGTTCCTTCCCATGCTGTGGTCACACGCGAAGACAAAGCGTCTGCTGTCCGCCGCATGCTAGTAAACCAACAGGTCGGTGCGGGGGCAGAGTTGATTCCGCTTGTTCTTATCTCCCCGACTTAGCGCTTAGAGGGGGCAAGTGGCATAACAGAGCACGTCAACCTTTCGCTCAGTTTCAGCTTCTTTCCATGTGTGGCGGCGCGTTGGGGTGTTCCCGTCCCCTGCACCCCCGTAATGGCACGGACAGACTCCCCCAGCCGGTAGAACAGAGGGAGTTTATTGCTTCTCCAGGACACAGCACAGCCCAGATGGAATCTGGTTCCAGGGCAGGCCTAGGATGCCTCAGTCCCCCTTGAGATGGGGGAGACTGGGCCCCTAAATCCCAGCCCGTTGCCTAGGCTGCTTCCTCCATGATCCCAGACAGAAACTAACCAACTCTCCTCCAGCCCTGCCCCCCAGCCAGGGGCGGCATTCCACCTTCCTTTGTTCCTCTCCCTGGGGGGGGGTAGCTGGTCAGACAGGTTTGGAGCCCCCTTTGCATAATGACTCACCCCCTGCCCTGCTGGGCCGTGCTACAGACAGCAGAGGTCACTCACAACCCACTGCCCAGCATAGCCACCAGCAAGTTACCCCCCACTACGTCACACCGTGTTCTGTCTCCGCTCCTGGAAAGCTGAATGCACAAATAGCGTTTCATGCTGCTGGAGGAAAAGCAGAGGGGGATCAGGTCCTTCCTCTTGTGCTGGCAGATTCCTGGTACACAACAGGAATCACCCTGTGGGCATCTCTGCCCACCTTCACTTGAGCTACAAAGCAATCAAGGGAGACTGGAGAATCCAGCCCTCGGCAAGAGGGAAATACGTATTTTGAGATCTCTCTTTCTAGAGGTCCAAAACTGATTAAGATCAGTCATCTACTGAGACGCAGCTTCAGACTGCAGTCCTGGCTCTCTGCATTCGGGCTTTCTATCTTGCCCATCACCATGGTATCTGAGGTCTTTCCAGGTAAAACTGCCTGGCGAGATCCCTGCTGGATTTTTGTGGATTCTCCTCCCATCCCTGTTCTTTTGGATGTTCAGGCAAATATTTTTGTCTTAAATTGTTCTACTGATGGCGAGAGAACTATCTCCAGCTTTGTACCATACTGATGATCTGACTTTGCTCTCATCTGCTATAGCCACTTACCCCTTTACTCCTGTATTTCAGGGATTGTTCGGAAGCAATGGCAGTCAGAAAGATATCTTCCAGATGTTTCAGTCTGACACCAAGGACCTTTTGTTCAAGGATTCCACCAAGTGCCTGATTCAACTCCCCAGTGGAATAAACTATAAAGAGTTCCTGAGACAAGAATATTTTGATTCTGTCTCTAGTTTAAGTCAGTGCTCACCATCAGGTAACTAACAAACTTCAGAGGAGACACGGATGAACTGCATCTCTCTGCTTGGTAGACATGAAGATCATGGGGTTTCAGAGAGTCATGTCTGTCACTGCCCAGTCGGAAAGGACTTATGAAGATACCTTTTAAAAACAAGGAGGAGTCCTGTGATACCTTTAAAGGCTAACAGATTTATTTGGGGAGAAGCTTTTGTGGGCAAAAACCAGTTTAACCAGAAAATAAAACTGGCTTTTGCCCATGAAAGCTTATGCCCAAATACATCTGCTGGTCTTTACATCTACGCAGCAGAGTTATTTTGGAATAAGGTCCGTTATTCCAAAATAACGTTATGCGCAGTCTACATAAGAAGCCCATTATTTTTAAATAAATTCGAAATAACAAGCTTCTTAATCTGATTTCCTGTAAACTCGTTGTACAAGGATTAAGGAAATCAGCCCTGTTCTGTGGAACCTATGTCTTAGGAGTAGAGACAGCAAGTTCATTTTTCCCATCCATTTGGTTCTTGGCTTTTCCTCTGAGACTGCTCCCGAGAAGGCAAAACATGCACACCCCGCCCCATTCCAAACTCGTCAGGCTGGGTTAGGAGAGATGGAACTTTGCACGCCCCGCCCCATTCCAAACCCGTCAGGCTGGGTTAGGAGAGATGGAACTGATGTGGACTTGCGTGCACTACAAATCTAGCCTGAGATCACCAGTTTGACACGCTTAGTGAATGGTAGCGACTCTGGGGCTTAAAGGACCTGGCACAGGTTGAACTGGTGCCCTAGAATCCTCTTTCTAGTCCCTCTTACTCGTCTAGTCCACTGGCCACTAAAATGATAAAGTGTATTCCCCGAGTGGCGGATCGAGTTGAAAACGGCTGTGAGCGCTCCCGCCAGCCCGCGCGCCTGCCCCGATACCTTGGGGAACATACCGCCACAGTTGCTTTGCACGCCCCGCCCCATTCCAAACTCGTCAGGCTGGGTTAGGAGAGATGGAACACACTGTGCATGTAAACCTGGGGTCGGGGAGAGAGAGTTACTTTAGCAGAACCTGGGCTGGGAGGAGGTGAGGTGTGTTTGTTTTCTGGTTAAACAAGCTGCCAGCAACGTCTGAACCTGCCTGTTCTCTTCCCCTTACAGAACTCCTCCAGGTCTGCAAATTCAGCGACTTGACGACCTTGGCTTAGCGGGAGCCACCAGGAAAACCTAGAAGCTTCATTCCTTGTAGCCTTCTCTGCACCAAACTGTAGCTAGCCGAGTCCCTCTGCGGCTGTCTCTTCCCTCCTCCCTCTCCAAGAGGAGTCCAGCCTGTTCTCGTGACTTTTACAACTCCCTGCTGCCACCGGAGCAGCAAATAAAATCTGAGTCTAACCACGGGTTTGCTGTGATTTGAGCTATTCTTTGGCATTTGCAGAATCCCAGCTATCACTGAATGCCATCGCACACACAGCACAGCCCAGCCCGGCCTCCCAGGGCTGCGTGGATTTACTTTTCAGGGCGTATGGTCAGGCCTGCCCCATAGGGCGGTGGTGCAAAGGGGCAATTGCACTGGGACCTGGTGATTTAAAAGAGCCCGGGGTTTCTGGCTGCCACCACTGCTCCTGCACTGAGTCCTTTAAATTGCCACTGGAGCGCTGCCACGGCTCCGGCCAGCGCTATGGGCTGGGGGCTGAGGTGGGCACGCTGGGCTGGCTGTCCTCAGCCTTGCCCCTTCCCGGAACAGTGACCTGGGCCCTCCTCCCCCACACCTTGCCAGGCGCCCCCGTGTATGGCGTGCCTCTCACAGTCCTTTGGAAGCTCTCCAGGGTGTCTGTACAGATGCGATGGAAATACAAAGCATAGTACGTCCCCAGAGTAGCCCTAACCAGGACAGCTTGTTCAAATCCAAGCGGAACGGTCAGAAACGCCGAGCTGCAATTTCCACTACAGACACATGAGCAGCATCTCTGGTGGCCGAGCTGGGCACCCGTAAGCAGCCAAGAAGCAGAGGCCGCTCCATGGAAAACTTGCTTGCATGCTTTTCCGGAGAGACAGCTGTCTCCAAGCAGCTACCATCTCTGAAGCACTGACACATCAGCTCTCAGAGAATGCCTGGGCCAGCCAAGTGCCTGTCTTGGCTACTCCCAGGCTGCTGTGTGGGGATCTAGCTAGCAAACCTCTGCGTGCTTTCAGCCGGGCCCTGTCTTGGGGTCCCTAGGCCCACTCTTGAGGTGCTGATCCTCAGTTGAGCATCCCCCCTCCGGAGACCTCACAGTCCTTGGCTGGCACTGACCCCTCCGGGTTTTCCACAACACGCCCCCTCCCAAAGCTCCACCCAATGGTATGAGGCTTCTGGTTTACAGCCAGGGCCACCCATGGATGCGAGGGAGGGAGGGAGGATAAAGGGGGCAGCTGCCCCAGGGGCCGGTGATTTAAAAGTCCTTTAAACTTCTGCCCCGTGCGGTGGGCATCTCTGAAGGGCTGGCTGGGCTGTCCTGTGGGGGAGAGGAGGTAGGCATGGCCCTGGTGCTGTTGAAAGTTTTACAGACTGCAGCAACTGCCTGCCGGCTGCTGAATGACCGTGTAACCTTGGAGGGGCTAGAAGTCTCTGGCCTTCTCCAGTGCCTGAAAAGCCCTACTCCCCTAGAAAAGGAGCTGGAGACCCAGTGTTTCCGCAAGGATTTCACAGGGTCACCCTCCCCAGGTGCAAGTCCCGAAAGGAAGTAAAGAAATGAATTAAATAACTTCATAAAATCTTACGATGAAGAAACAACGAATCATCTCATTTTTACAGTATCACGTGGGTAGTTTCTGACCCACAGACATTGTCTTCCTGGCGGCAACAACAAACAAAAATAAAGGGAAAATAAAAAAATGAAGGTTGAGCAGTTCAGCCCACGGAAAACGCAGGGAGAAGAACCGGAGAGGCCCTCAAAGCTCAGGGTTAGTTCATCCAAGTCTCTGTGAGCATCTTTGGTCACCAAAGCGGCACCATATGTGGAGTCTGAAACATCTCCCCTCGCTTGCTTGTAGGAATCCTCACCTGGAACCCAGGCAGCCTCCGCTGTGGATCACAGCTAGACAGCCAGCTCACTGGGTGGGCATACTCAGGATTGGGGGCCGAATTTGGCCCCCTAAGCATTTTCTCCAGCTGATTAGCTGACTGTGCAAAGCTCCCCTGCACCGCCCCTTGCTCTGTCCTTCAGTTTGAGCTACTCCCTGCATTCTCCTGCTAGCTGTGCAGGGAAGGGGGGTGGAGGGGACAGGGCAGAGCTGAAGTCAGGGTGTTCTCCTGCCCCTGTACCCTAATTCTGCAGAGCAGGGATCTTAGACAGAGACCAGCCAGGGCACTCTGGCCCCACGCCCGAGGAGACCCCTGCCACTCCATGCTGCTGCCTCTATCTCAGAAGCAGCAGTGGGGGGTGCCAAGCTGGAGCTGGTCTGCGAGGGAAGCCAGTTTAAAAACCAGCTCCCCTGGCGGACCAGCTGCCTGTCATCCCGTGGTGGCAGCAGCCCCTGTCCAGGGAGGCCTGGTGTGAGCTAGAACTGAGCCTGGCTGCTTGCTTGCCTAGCTCCTAATACTTTTTAAATGCAGAGCCACAGCAGGAGTCGGTCCCGGGACTGAGCCAGGCTGTGAGCCTGCCTCCTAAAACATTTACTGGCAGGGGGTGGGGGGAGAATGCGCGCGGTCTGTAGCGTTAACCAATACACGTTTGCTTATCCGTACATTGACCACACTAATATATCCCTACATCAAAGGACAGATTTCCCTTAGACACATGGGGGTGACTTCTCTGAACTTAGCCAGCACACACATGCTCTGTGTCACTGTCACACATACACACTGCCACACACGCTCTCTCCCCTCATTCTGTCCTACAGCTGCCTCCAGGATTCTCCTGCTAGCTGAGAAGGAGAATGGGGGTGGAGGGGAGTGCTGAAGTCAGTGGTGTTCCCCTGCCTATGTATGCCATCTCTGCAGAGCTGGGGTCCTAGACAATCAGTCACACAGACACATAAGTCAACAGAGCTGCTCCAATCTGAAGCATGTGACTCAGAGGCACGCAGAACAGGGGTGGGGAAGACAACAGAGCAGGACACATTCTCTGAGAGATAGTGTGGCTTCTCTTAAAAACTTAGCCAGCACACATACCCAGTCTGTGCCACACACAGACACTGCCACGCATACTCTCCCTGTCACTGTTGCACATACACACTGCCACACACTCAATCTGTGCCAAAGCCTGACTCACCCTCAAACAGGGTGGCCAGGTGTCTGGTATGGACCTGGACAGTCCAGTGTTTGCCCCTCCTGTCCGGTAAAAAAATCAGAAAATCCCAGACCCCAAATACCGGACCCCTGACCCTGGACCCCTGACCCCAAATACCAGACCCCTGACCCTGGACCCCTGACCCCAAATACCAGACCCCTGACCCTGTCACTGTCACACATACACACTGCCACACACTCAATCTGTGCCAAAGCCTGACTCACACTCAAACAGGGTGGCCAGGTGTCTGGTATGGACCTGGACAGTCCAGTGTTTGCCCCTCCTGTCCGGTAAAAAAATCAGAAAATCCCAGACCCCAAATACCGGACCCCTGACCCTGGACCCCTGACCCCAAATACCAGACCCCTGACCCTGTTTCCCGCTGGAGCACCTTGCAGAGCAATTCACCGCTGGCTCCATCACTGACGAGATTAAATCGAGAGTGGGTGGTTTTCTATATGCTCTATGGGAAGTTCTGTGGCCTGTGTTAGAAGGTCAGACTAGGATGATCACAATGGGTCCTAGGAATCTCTCAGGACTGCTCTCAGCAGCCTCCTCTGAGCTAGCAGGGAACAACCCAGCTAGAGGGGAGCCCTTTCCCATGGCTACTACATTCATTATTATGATGTATTTGTATTACAGTAGTGCCTGGTCCCAGACCCACTGGTGCTGGGTGCTGTACATGATCTATTAGTCAAATTACAGTAGCATTAAAATCCCAGTCCTGGCCCAGGACCCCATAGTGCTAGATGCGGTATGTTGTTTATTAGGCGGGTTACGGTAGCTAGCACATAGGAGCCCTGTTGTGCTAG